AAGGTTAATTTTACTTATTACATTGACTTTTAGAATATTGTGTTTCGTAATTGAGGCAGTCACCTCTGAATTAGCGTTACCAAATTATTAGCGCTGGGTGCATAGGAGTTTGTGCATATATTCTATGGCACTTGGAGGTATGTAGACCATTCCCTTGTCGACATAGGAGAATTACGTTATTAATTGATACAACCTACGCATTGTATGATTATTGTGTTTCTTAAAATATAGGAACTTTGTATACCACTTGGTATATTGGAGTTAAGTGGAGCCCTTATAGTGAGGTTGCGTCTATTTGGAATATGAGGATGTTTTTCGCTCATAGTTTCCAAGCATAATGGAAGAAAGTAAGGGCGAATTCCGAGGACGGAATTCCTTTTATTAGGGGGGAAGAATGTAATACCCCTAATTTTAAAAGGATAGTCTCAGTATTTATTTATTTGTTTTACTTGTATTTTTTAATTATTTAATTAATTATTTGACTAATTGCTTATGTGTTTAATTGAATTAGGTATTACTTGATTATTTGATTATGTGTCTATGTATTATTTGTATTTGTCTATGTGTTAATTGTTTAATTAGATTATGTACTTAAATGGTGTTTTGATTAATTGTAAATTAAATGTTTTCTTTTCTTTTATTATTTTATTTTATTTTTCTTTTATGGTTATGGTTAGTAGTAATGGGCCAACCAATTGGGTCCCATGGACTACTTGGATAGGAGGTTGGATGTGTATGAATTATTATCCATGGATAATGTATGTGTATATATAGATATATATTATATACATATATAAAAAGGAAAGTAATTTATTAATTATTTTTATGGTAACTTGGGTAGTAATATTTAATCTGATGTATATATTTTATATTTAAATAATAAAAATATACATATATTTGATACGTGTTATGTTTTAAGTTACTTTATAATATTATGATAACTTAAGTATTATTGGATAATCCATTAATAAATAATGGAATGTGTATAATTTATTTATTTAATAAACATATACATAAATTATATACGTAACATATTTTACTTACCTTTTGAATATATATATAAAAGAGAAAGTAATTTATTAATTACTTTTATGGTAATTTGGGTAGTAATATTTAATCTGATGTATATGTTTATTTAAATAATAAAAATATACATAGATTTGATACGTGTTATGTTTTAAGTTACTTTATAATATTATGGTAACTTACATATTATTGGATAATCCATTAATAAATAATGGAATGTGTATAATTTATTTATTTAATAAACATATACATAAATTATATACGTAACATATTTTGTTTACCTTTTTAATATTTTTATTTTCATTTTTTTTTAGTTGACTTGGATTAGGAAAAGGGTTAGAGTTATTTTATTTAGCCTATAAATATATAGCTATAGGTTGTAAAAGGGGGTTAGAAATATTCACGTGATATATATTGGAGAGATAGTGTTAGAGAGGGAAGGAGGAAAAGGAAGGAATGAGGAGAAAAACCCTGTAGAGAGAAGATCAAGGAAGAAGAAGTTTAATTTTCGATCCGAAAATTTAAGGCAAGTTCTTCTTTTATGTCTTTCCCTTTGATTCGTGTTTCTATACATGCCTAGGAAATTTCAGGATTTATTAAACACATAAAATTAAATAATTTGCATGTTTAATTGGGTTAGAACATAGGTTCTATGAAATTGGTTCATATCTGTTCTTGTGTTATGAATTGATAAAATGCATGATTTTGATTTGATTTCTTATGTGAATTTTTACATGTTTAAATTACGTATTTTTCATATCTTTGGAATGATGGAACGTAGAAACATGCCTAGGATTCCTAAACATTAAATAGGGACTAGGTTTGGGTTTTAATAATTTAAATAGACTCAATCATAATGATGCTTGCTATTTGAATGTTTTAAACAAACAAATGGATTTAATCTTTTAAAATATTTTAGCAATTGAGATTAAATGTGTAGGATGAATTGGATATAGAGAATCCTTATTTAACGGTATAATAAAATATCATCATGTATAAGATTCAGTTTGTGTAGGACATATGATATAAGAAGTTTAAAGAAATAATAAGTCATTCTTATTATGTGATAACTTGATATCATATTTATCATAGTTATTTATGGAATGTTTGATGTATTTTCTTAATTGTTACATCAATTGTTAGATTGTGTGGTTTAATGCACCGGTATGGGACGGTGGCATTCTAGGGATGGATTAACTTATCAGTTAAGTCCTACCTATTTTATATAAGGGAATGGATTAACTAAAATGTTAAGTCCTACTTATATTTAAGTCAGGTCAGCTGAACAAGTTGAATGACTTATGGAGGATTAATTTATTATATAAGGGAATGGATTAACTAAAATGTTAAGTCCTGCTTATATTCAAGTCAGGTCAGCTGAACAAGTTGAATGACTTATGGAGGATTAATTTATACTGGATAGGATGGTTACTAGATTATATATATATAAGTATGGTGCCATGATATGAGCTTGAGTCTCAGGATCAATGGTTAGGGCGCGTATATCGCCAGGGATGTGTAGCTAGATATAGTGTAGTTGTGTACCCTGGTAGGTCTAGGTACTCATGCCCACTATATGTGCGTTTTGCATGTTGCCTACTATTCAGGTTGAGACAACCCTATAGTCTAGTGAGGTTCCTTTAGTGTGTATATATATATATACGGACTACTAGTTACTGTTAGATTGACTAGGATGTATACGTGTATCGGATCTCTGCTTGGACTGTAGTAGAGTAGAACTTGTTTGTGGACCTGACCTACCATTATTTTTCAGGTGTTCGTCACGAGTAGAGGTTGTTCGTGCTGAGCGGGGATCAGCCTACTTCATTCTTCCGATGCTACATAAGAGTTCCTTTATGATTCAGTTTCCTGTTTTAGATTACTGTCATTTGTTTAGTTTGGATTTTCTATGGGTCCACACAGTATGGATTCCCGAGTTGTATTTTGGAGGATCAGTTGTATCAAAAGAGTTTATTAATTAATGGAAATATATTATGAGGTTTATTATTAGATTATCATTTTAGTTTCTTGTCAGCATTTTATTTATTCTTCTTTATTCTTTTGTACTCTGTGTTCGTTTATTATCAATTTGTTTTGATATCCTCGGGTATTCGGGCGTGGGCCTGGCCAACCCGCATTCGGAAATTCGGAGGTATCACACTTCATCACCGGTCAATTCAATCTCTCTGTTCAGCTTGCCGTTTCTCGTCGGTAGAACAGCTTCGAGACCGGAGAAGGCGGGCCACAGCCGGGGCTTGACGAGAAAATGTTGATGCATTAGGTGCTATGGGTTTGTTGATACGAGGGCACCATTGTTTAGGTGGTGTTCTCTAAGATTTAGAGAGAGATGAGAAAGAAAAAAATTCCAAAACTTGACAATTAGACTGTCACATCAATTCTGCCTAAAACATCAGTTTAAATTGTCTGTCTGAGTATCACAACCCTTATACTATGTTCCGTCGGAAGGAAAGAAGAGGGGTGAAAGGAAAATAGGAAGGAATGAACAAATTTCCTTAGTTCGGTAGAGATGATATAAGGAAAGAAATGATAATAGAAAGGATGAGTCATCCTTCCTCCTTCACAAAATTTCATCCGCCCAAATATAGGTAGAAAATAAGAAAGAAACAAGTGAGTCTATTATAGAAGTTTTAAATTACTGCATCACTCTTCATAAAGATTTAGTAAATGATGAGTCTAATGATAAAATAACTTAAAAATTTATCTTTCCTTTTATTCTACTGATCAAATTAAATTGTTAGTTTTTTTCATTCTCTTCCATCCAACCGAATAAAAAGAAGAAAACGCTTAATCTCTTTCCTAGGATGTCTCAATCATCCTTTATTTTCTCTCTTCCATTCAATTTTTTCTTTCTTACCGAATGGAGCATTAATATAAAGTAATTAAGAGAGAATGACCCAAAACACTAATAGGGGAGAAAATGTAAGAGAAAATTATATTTCTATAATTGGAACGGTAGTTGTGGTATTTGAGAAAAACTAATTATTTATTTATAAAATTAGAGATAGAAGTATTCTTTCTTTTAGAGTGTAGTGCAATATTAAAAAAAATGTAGTGCCCTCCCTATATATATATATATACACACACACACACACAGTATTATAGACATTTATAATAAAGTTCCCTGTATATAGAAATATGAATATACATGCTATTTATGTTAAATATACCATAGATGACAAACGGCCTTGAAAGGATCCTCTATTGCATGTCAGAATCCAATGGACATATCTATTTTGCTTGTTATACTCATCTTCAAACAACTGAACTTCAACACAAGTTTGTTGCAGAAAGGAGACTGACTTGCAGACAGATCCTTGTAATTTGTACATGTTGATGGTTGGTTGGTTATAGAGCTCTTTGGAAAAAACAAAACATGCATGTTGCAGATAGATTATTTAGGTGCACTAAACTTTGAATATAAAAAATAAAAAATAAAAAATAAAAATAAATAAATAAATAAAGAACAAACAAACAAAAACTGTACATTGTGATGCGAGAGCTACCCACTGGTCTCATTCCAAACCAACCACCGGAATCACATTATCAATTATGTTGTTCTAGTTGTAGATAACCCTAGTTCTCTCATTCTAAACCTATCTTCAATAGCTGTTGTCCCATGACATGACGACTCAAAAACACTAGATAAAATTATATATGTGAAAAGAACCCGTTTATCCTAAGGTAAAGTTGCTCCATTATGACTTGGCAATCACAAATTCGAAATTAAAAACATTTCCACATATAGAGGTACATCCTCCGCATGTAGAGGTAAGGCCTCAGACACTAGACTAGCCCTTCAGATATACCCACTGTCTCTTTAAGCTTGCACTAGAATTTTCTCTTTTTTCTTTTGGTCATGATCTGCATAAATGGGTTTAAGCATATATTGTTTTCACCATTTTAGTGAGTGATTACATCTAAACTTCATTACAGAACAAATTGGACATCCAATATACAAAAAATAATAATATGAAGAATTTGTGTAGCCTTGTGATAATACAAACCAGAATAAACCAAGGTGCTGGCACAAAATCATACCTGTTTTATACCGGGGGGAGAAAAAATTTACATATTTGCATTTTCGCTTTATCTGTTGGATATTACAGAATTGGAAGTGCCGAAAATGGCTGCTTCTGCAACAAGAAGAATGTAAAGAAACAGAGACCAAAAAATTATGTTCTGAAGGACCGCTGAATTTCTTCCAAAGTCTTTCCTTTTGTCTCGGGTACCCAAATGGCCGTAAATACCACAGTGAAAGCGCACATAATCATGTAAATAAGAAAGGTTCCTGTTAAATATAACAAATCAATTAATTAGAAACCAAATAAAATTAACAATAATGAGGTAATATCTCCGTAACCCAATGAGGATGGTAAGTTTAGTTACAATAACCATAACAACAACAGGATTCGTAACAGCAAGAGCTGCATTCCGACTGCAAACATTGCACATTTGTACCCTTCAGTGTCATCGAGCACCTATGCATTTGTGCTCAGGTTTCATACAAGCATTCATGATATATAGGTGTCGGGGTGTGTGTGTGTGTGTGTGTGTGTGTGAGAGAGAGAGAGAGAGAGAAAGAGAGAGAGAGAGAGAGAGGCAAACCTGCACTACTCCATGTTAAAAGCAAGTTTGCAGTCAACGTAATCACCCAGGAAAAGAACCAATTGCATAGTGTTGCTACACTTCCAGCGAGGCCTTTAATTTTTATAGGAAGAATCTGCGATGCCAAGTACATGAGGCACAGAGTTATTTGCAGCAAGCTAGAGATAAGAATTCTGAAATGAATGTGTTTCACAACAAAAGTGGACAATATGCACAAAAGTTTTTTACTAGTCAACTGCATAGTTCAGCTTAGATAATAATATTAAATAGTACCAAACGCATAACATAATAGATATGTCATAGTCGAATTTATAATTTGAGCTGAGCTTCAAAATCAAACTACCAGATATTTTTATTTTCTTGGATAAACTACCAGAGATTAGTTACTAATGAAACATGAATGCAGCCAGCATATGCAAAAAAGAACTTGAAACTTATATTTACGAGTTCTCAGCACAATGAATTGTCATAGCTCAAATACTTTATTTCAGGAGTCAGGACTTGAGGTTTGTGACAATAAAAAAAAATAAAATGAACTGAATATTTGGAGAGTGAAATATTTCCTTTTAAGGAAGAGGTATCTGCCTACCTCCTTTAATATAACTAGATGCTAAATTTAAGTTGTGCAAGATAAACAATCACTTGACAACAGTAGGCCGATTCCCAGCAGAAAAGAAAACAGATGAGTGGCAGAAGAAAATTGAAAAATATTTTACATAACATGATGCTGTTTTGTTAAAATAATGAAAAAATTTCACTGCGAAAATGTGACATTAGATGGTAAATTAAATATAGGTACCTCAGACATTATAACCCATGGAACAGGGCCCATTCCAAGAGAAAACCCAATTACCATGCCCTGAAAGAAAAAGTCAGGCAATCATATAATCCTTTTGAGAAAAGGCCAGCAAGAACCATCATATGCATGCTTTTTAATGAGTAAAGACATACCACTACTCCAACCACTGATATGATGCCCAATATGCTATACAAGGTAGAATCATGCGATACAAAATCCTGAGATTAATAAAGAATGTGACCAAAAGTTTTTAGTGTTACACACGTGGAAGAAAACAAAAAATCTTTGCATGTGCTTAATGATTTTGACTAAAAATGTTGATTAACAAAATAGTATTGCAATACTACCTTCCAAAGGAATGCAACTGCAACAACTAGGAGGCTAACAGTCATGACAGAGGAGGAGACCTACAATAAAAGATTCAAATTCCCATTTACCATGTAATTTGAGATAATGATTTACAGACTATATACAGAATATTCTGCCCATACTCACTATGAGTAGAACCCTACGGCCTGCTTTGTCGACCAACCATGTAGCAATTCCGGTGGCAAAGACCTAAATAGTGCACGAATTGTTGTTGATGACTTGAGAAATAAATGGCCATTCAATATTAGAATTTAAATAGGAATAAAAGAGACCATTTTGCAAATAATCCTTTAAGCCATACCTGGATAATACCAAGTAACAGTGTAGCAATATTACTTGCTGAAATCCCTGTTCAAATTTAAGACAACAACTAAGAGCCATCTAACTTGAATTGAAATAAACTAACTTTTTCCTTTCGATAACAGATATATAAGAGATGATACACAATTAACTAAAGCACATAACCAAAATAAATAGTAACTCTAGTTTTAGTACACCAATGCACATAACCTACAAGAGAATAAAATATATATGGCCAGCAGGTTGTCGATTAATTCAGAATAAGAAGTTAATTTGTTCAACAGTTTATATGAAAAATTATATCAGCATAATAAAAGAACAACATACAAGAAAAATGAAACACGGTACCATGGATCAACTAATAGTTCCTCAAAGTTTTTAAGACAAACTTCTGATTAAGCAATCATTAAATTTTAGGAACACAGTTCCAGTTGCCGGTCCAACACTTGGAAGGAATATTATACTAACATGATACCCCAAGTGGTCAAAAAGAGCTGGTAAGCGGACTGCAACAATGATACTTCCATGATTCTGGTGCACCTCAACCATTAAACGAAAATGAATACAATAAAAGAACTGGTTACTACTTACCAGCAGATTCAAAAATGGTACTGGAATAGAAAAGCACACCATTAATTCCACTTATCTGCTGCAGGACAAGTAATCCAATTCCTATCTGCCAGATATCGGTAGCAGAAAACAATTAGTTCTGATGATTTTCCATGTTCAAGATTGAAAGCATAACATTAACATAAGAAAACTAAAACTCCCAGATGATAGATAATACCATCAGAGGAAACCATAATCTTCTTTGTTTGAGCTCAGCAAATCGGATTGTAGTTCTACTGCTTCTTGATGATACAGAGCCCTGCGCAGCAAAAGCTTTTTAATAAGAACAACTAAAAAGTGCAGTTAGGAACAAAACTATGAGATGTTTATCCTAGAAAGAGATAATATAAAGATAAATTAATCCATGGACTTTTAGCAGGACATTACATGTATTAATGTAACAGATTACTTTGTTTTAAATGCAGTTAGATGGAAGCAGTTGGTGGTTCTGTAACGTAATTGAACTAAATGAATTTTACCTTGATCTCATTTACTTCAACGGAAATATCAGTATCAAATCCTCGAAGAACTTGCAAAGAAGCTTCAAAATCTTCTGTCATTCCCATTTTTGCCTGGATTCAATAAAAAAAATTTGCTTCAGTAGTGACCATAGCCACATATCCAACCATGGACAATGGTAAAAAAATATATCATTTCATGAAGCTCACCAGCCACCGAGGGGATTCTGGAATAAAAAATAGGCCAGGTATCAAAATTAGACATGGTAATATTCCTGCAAAAAGATAGATGTATTTCCTTTTCAGAATAAATGCTTATTTCATATGCTTTGGCAGATTACGTCGAATTACACAAAATGGGACAAGAGTGGCATTAAGGTGATAAATAATACAGCTTATCAAATGCCTAATTCAGCCATCAAAAAGTTTTTTGGTGCTTATTATATTTAATTTTTTGGTAAGCTCAATTTTTTTAATGTGACTGATTTATAGGCTCCCAAATTGAATGTAGATTTTATGGTTTTAGCTGATACCGGAGGCTGCAGTCCTTACTCTTGATGTATCACTTCCTTAGCTTTTATTTTATTTTGCATGTACCATGAATAGTCCATTATTATCCCCCCACCCCCACCAACCCCCTCCCAAAAATAAATAAATAAAAGGAAACAGACCAAGATTATGAAATAATCACGGATGTACAATTGAAATCCAACTAACTTAACCTTGATGCCTTACTGAGTTACAGCCCATATCAAACATCAGTTCTTACCAGATTTTAACTGGAACAAGTTTAAGAAGAACAAGGTTGAGAAACTCCTCTTATTAATTGACAACCAAAACTAACTTCACTTACCAACGGGCCAGTGACCTAGCGGTATCAGCCTCTTACTTCCCAAAGGGAGGTCAGGGGTTCAAGTCTCAGAAGAGACAATTGTGTGTGAGTACCAACTAGGAAAAAAAAAAAAAAAAAACTAACTTCACTTTTGGGCCTTCTTGGAAAACTTAATGCCTGTGAAAAGATTAATTTTGTACTTCCAAGTATGAAAAATCATATTTGTTAAAGGCGTGCCTAGGCTCCTAAATGATCATCCGTAGATGTCGTTTTATTTGTATTTTTAAATGAACATGAATTACATACTCTATATTAAATCATGGTCATATTCAATGGGTCACATGGTTTAATTTTATGCATATTTGACGGAATTTATGAGCTTATGTGAAAAATTACATTAAATGTGTCCCATACTTGATTCTTGATTTTTATCATAATACAATACATATTTAGAATTTATTACTTTTTATTGTTGCACAATTATAATGGTATTTGATTTAGTTAATATATGCATATCATGATCACATACGATCTTATGTGACTTATATTTCATATTCGTTTCTATTACACATGCACCTCACTATAGTTAGGCTCTCGCCTTGCGTTGTGCCTTGCTCTTAGGCTCCAAGAGATCTTGGGCGCCTTAGTATGCCTTGAGCCTTTAATAACTATGCAAACAACCACAATTTAAAATTTTGTATTCATGAACCAACATAAATGCAGGAAAAGCAAGATCCCCATGTTCTGAGTAACTTTCATTGAGCCATCATATAGCAACAAATCGGTAAATCACATCAAAACAAGCAGAACTATTATTCAAGTAGGTTTTTGTTATTAAGATTGCCTTATCAGGAAATTGATTATGATTATATCCACTGATAATAAGAAACTAAAGTGAGTCTTTCAAAGGATTACCCAAAACTGCAAGTACTCTCCAATTAACAAAAAGCCCCAGCAAATAAGCCAGCAATATTCCAATCGTAACAGAAAGCTACAAAACAGAAATAGTAAAATTTAATTGATTTGATCATTTGAAAAATTAATGAAGCATAATAATATCTCCAATTCAGGATAAGAAGCAAAAACAACCAACCTGGTTCACAGAACCTAGCCCCCCTCTCATGTTTTGAGGCGCTATTTCAGCTATATATACTGGCACCTACAGTTACGAAAACAAGAAGGTTCAACTGAGATATTTCTGGTACATGATTCCTTTATGTAATAACCACCTATATGCTTTATAGTTACCGTGTAAGAGATTATCCCCACACCAAATCCCTCCAACAATCTTCCCATGTACAGAAAGGAAGAATCCTAATCAAAACAACAACTATGACATAAGTAGAGGTTCCAATGTCACTTCAAAGATACATGAAATAGTATTTGAAGATAGATAATTAGAAGAACTCACTTTAGCAAATGATATAGCAAGCCAACCAATTATATTAGGGATAGCAGCAATCATCAAAGACTGCAATATCACAGAATGAAGCAAAATGCACTTATGCAAATCAAAAAAAAAAAAAAATCCTCATAAGGAAAATCAAGCAATGAAACAAACACTCATACCCCTTTTCTCCCAATATACTCGGCAATCTGACCGCTAGCTATTGCCCCAACCATTGCACCCACATTCGATAAAGAACCGAATAAAGAGAACTGAACCATTATTTGAGTGAGAAACCATATAGAAACAAACCCATATGAAAACAAGGCATCAAATATACTATCCACACCTCGGATACTGAAAGATTTAGGTCAGCTGTGATAGCAGATTGCGTAGGTGAAGAAAAACCACTCTGCAATAAGAACACAATCATTCATTAAACAGATATATAAGAAAGTAATATCAAGAGAGAGAGGGATCAAAAAATAAAAAAAAACTCTTTTAGGCATCCAATAATTTTGGAAGACAGATAAAATTTCAAGTACATCTCATTTTTACCCATAATTTAGGTTCATGAGAATCAAAGAGCTACTCTAAACCCAGTAATTGTACAAATCTTATAACAAAATTGGATTTGACAAGTGAAATTATGGTTTTCTAATTTTCTCTCTATTTCTTGGCAACCAAACAATAATTTATTTAAAGAAGAAAAGATGAAAAACAATGGAGGGTCTAACCGTGAAACCGAACTGTATAGGACCCAAAGCAACGATTAGAACACATGCCAGAACAGAGACTGAGCGGTCACGAATCGTCTGAGTCGAACCCATCATACTGGACTGCCTCGAACCCATGCCGCTCATGCGATACCAACTTCCCGTATGAAGAAACGGTTTTCTAAGATCCTTTCCATCGTCATTCTCTTCAACGAAACTCATTCTCGTCGATCTCTTTCTCTCTCTCTAAGATTTATGCGAATCAACAAATCAATGAGAGAGGAGATATATACATATATATGTATATACTCGGTGATGTGTTGATTTTCCGGCGATGCGATTGGTCAATTGCCGGTGAGAGAGAAAATGGGAAGATTTATTAGTTTTAGAGAGAGAGACTTATTAGAGTGAGAAAGTTTTGCAGAGAATAGATGGTCACTGGTTGTTTTTTCCCGGTAAGGTGAGTTGGCACTGATTTATTCTTTTCTTTTTACACATAAATTATATTGTCTCTAACAACATTCCAACATATAACATCATTCCAACATATAACATTTACACTATTATTTTCTAATAATAGAAAATTAAGGTGTTCATTTGAATCGATTAAGGTGTTCATTTGAATCGATTTGTTCAATTCGATCTCTGCATATGAAAATAGTTTATTTTTATGATTGGGTTACAAATTGATAAATAAGATATTCGTGGTGTACGAAATCATTAACGGCCATTAATTGATTACGAAATAGTTTATTTTCATGGTTTGGTTAGGAATTTGTAGTTCAAGCCCCGTTTAATGGATTGAGGTTTTAGAAAACCCATCCAAGGGTCAGTTTGGTAGAATGAAAGTGTAAGGAGAAAAAATGGTAATGAAAGGAAATAAATAAATAAAAATTATTGGTAGGAAATGTTTGATGGAAATGAAAGGAAAATGAAGGATTTGGTTGGATATAATGAGGAATGAATGGTATTTTTTGTTATCCTCCAAAAAAAAATAGAGGAAATGAAAGGAAAGGAAAGACTAATATTTTTAATAAAACTTTATTAATATCAATTTTACCATTATTTTTATAAAAGAAAAAAATTATAAAAAATGGTATGATCGTAAATTTATCACAATAGTTTCAATTCCTTTCTTTTCCCAAGATTACTACCATTTTCTTTCTTTTCCCAAGATTACTATCATTTCCTTCATTAATCAACCAAACATGATAAACAATTAACATTATTCTCTCATTTTCTTTCTTTTTTATTTCCTCCTAAAAGACCTACTAAGTTTTATTAAGTTTTTACTAACAATTGCAAATTAATCTATTAGATAGGACAATACTTGAATACTTATTGCTGATATTGTCCAATTACAAGTGCATAAATAGTCCATATTACAAAATCAAGAAAGTGATAAATAATGATAATATATATATATTTTTTTTAAAATAAATTCAATCAACTTTCTGATTTCTTTATTTATCACTTTCTTAATTTTGTAATTACAGAATATAACCACAATAGTAGGAAGTAGATTTGGCCTATTCACCTATGGGTAGATAAGTCTTGTTCGATTAAAAATAATAATATTAAACTATTTGAAAAAAATTCGATACAATTCATAAAAATGCTGAATCTAATCGGACCAATTCAATTCATGTCTTGTTCGATTAAAAATAATAATATTAAACTATTTGAAAAAAACTCGATGCAATTCATAAAAATGCTGAATCCAATCGGACCAATTCAATTTATAAAAATGTTGAATCCAATCGGACCAAATTTCATAGGGATGGAATCTAATTAGGATATCTAGTGGTCACCCATATAGAAAATATACAATAATTTCTCCCAAGACTGACTGGTTAATAATTTGGTGATTCTAAGACTATTAGGTTGTGTTTGGCAAATCCATGCATCAGTAGTTAGCTCAGGGCAAAACCCAGTTATTGGTACTTTTTAAATTCCTCATTATTCAAAGTTGTTTTTTTTTTTTTTTTTTTTAAAGTAATTGATTCAAGTTGGTATGTCTAAACAGTTAAACATTTGTTTTTAGTTTTTCACTTATAGCCAACAAAATAATAATTGCTATGATTCTCGAAGCAAATAATGAGATGGTAAAACGAGTTGATTGGTTGATTTATTGGACTGTATCTGATAAGCCCTTGTCCAGTAGGATTATACTGCTATGATTCTAGAAGCAAATAAAAACAATACAAATTTCAGTATCAAATTGGTGGGTCAACAACTTGACCTACATAGCTGTCCATTTATCGTTTTCTTAATATAACTTTTGCAAATTTTCATTTTTATTTTCTTATAATATGTGGCATTTTTAATTTTTAATACTTTTTCAATCATGGTAAAAATTAAACCAATCCCCATTTTACAATTATTAAATATTACTGTTACATAAACTTAATTTATTTCTAATTTCCATTTTATTAAATAAAACTATTATATAACTCTAATTTATTTTTAATTTCCTTAATTGCAATAAGCCTATTAAATGAACATTAAATATGCCAGTTTTGTTCAAGTTGGGTTACTCTTCTATCCGTTTGTCATTATTATTTTAATTGAACATGTGGTTCTTGCTGGTTTTTCTTTTTGTTTGTCATTATTATATTAATAAATATATGTGGTCCTATAGATAGGAAGGTACACAGTACACTTGCTTTGTAATGATGACAGTTTGTTATCTTAATGTATCCTTTCTTGCCAGAGGATTCTCTCGCTTTAAAAACATTATATAAACGTTAATTCAAAAATTGATGCATGCAGCGTACTAGAATCAATAATGTAGTTCGAATCGGTGTAATTATAACCTCTTTGAAAAAATTGACTATAAGACGATTCGGGAAGAAAAAAACATAAAATTCTTTTGTGTGTTCAGTTTACCTTTAAAAGGATTTTAACAATGTGAATGAGTTATAATAAATGTGATAATAGAACTGGGAAGAGGCATAGATATAGATAGAAAGGAAAGAGATAGACAAAGAAGAATAAGACTGAGAGAGATTGATATAATAGTGTTCGCGCGGTTTTTGTTCCTTACGTCGGTCGATGGACTCTTCGCGGGTGTGCCAGAGTATTTGTACAAAATACCCAAAATATGTAATTGAATACCAGCCTATCCCTTTTTCCGATGGCTGACTCTCAGGTGATTGTGTGGGAGAGAGACTAGTAAGAACTCCCAGCAAAGTTCTTTTATGCCTTGTTTGTAGCAAGGACTTTTTAGAGTGTCTAAAGAAATGTAACTGATGAATGTTTGAATGGATGGAATGGCCGAGGGAAGACAGGCGGCAAGAACTTAATCGATCGCCGGCCGAACGTGATGGCGAGAACTTAATCAATCGCCATCAGCCAAACACAATGGCAAGAATTTAATCGATCGCCACTGAAACGTTATAGCAAGAATTTAATCAATTGCCATCAGTCAAGTAATGACAAGAATTTAATCAATTGTCACTACGATTCAATGGCAAGAATTTAATCAATTGCCATTGAATTGAAAGCCTAACTAAAATTGCGTAATTAAAATTGACATAATTGAAATTGAAAGAAAGTAAATGGCTGAATCAAAATAGTTGACGAGGATCTAATCAATTGCCATTAAATTGAAATAAAGAAATTGATAGGAAAATGACGTAGAGTCAATTGAAAACATTTTTAGTTGAAATGCATGTTTTGTGGTGGTGCTGGACGAATTGGAAATGGAATACAATACTTCTATTTATAGAAGTTCTATCTCAACTTATTTTCCTAATTAATTGCTAGAAAATCTCTTTGCTCTTTGATTTTCTTCACTTTATTACTCAAACTAAACCACGTTCCAGTAGTCTTTTGCGTCTCTTCTCTTCTTGCTTCAATAGGAAAGTCCTTGCTGAAATCTCTCCTTGATCCAGTCAAATGCAAGTTGTCGAGAAATATACTGAAAAGTTGCTGGAAAGTTGCTAACTTTTAGCAACTCCTTTCCTTAAGTTAGACTGAAAACTTCCCTTAAATGGCTGGAAGACCATTTATAACTTTTGCCCAAATTATCCCTCACGTGACGGCCTTTCCTTTGAATTCCTTATTCCTTTGCCACGAAATTCCTATTTCATAGGAATCTCATTCCAACTAAATCTCTTTTATCCAAACTGAAATAATATATTTGAATTAACTCAAATATTAATTACCAAATTTCAGCAACAACCTTATTGGATAAGGTGGCTAAATTCCTAAATTTTCTCCTCTTGTTTCTCAATTGGCCGACTTTTCTTGAAATCATACTAAACAAGTGTCGGCCCATCGCTGGTCCACGTCACCGCTGAGGTGGCTGCCAAGTTTTGGTGCCAACAAATGCCCCCCAAATTTCAAATGCTTTATCGGCCACTCAGACCGATAAGATTTTTTGGAATTTTTATAACATGAAAGAAACTGGCAGCCAGTGAGCTTCTAGACTTTATTTCTTCCCAACCACCTCTAAGTTGGTCTTTATATTGCTTCAACCAGGACTGGCCGATCCTAGTTCTTCCATTATTCCCACAAAACTGGCTGATACCCCTCAAACTATTGGCCATTTATAAATCCATGATAGACCTCACCATTGAAGTTTCCCAACTCTACTAGTAAGGTATGATCGTGATCGGCCGGGATCAAGTTGTTGTGTAATATTATTTGGGCCGATCTAACTGGCTACTCCATTAAAAGAACAACATTCTGCCAGTATAGAGCTTTTCTGATGGCTAATCTTCTTGAATTTTTAAACTTTCTTCCGCGAATTTCTTCTCCACTTAACCCTTTTTAGTTTCCATCCCCGCTTTCTTTTCTTGAAATTCGGTTGAGAACGACAGGCTAAAAGAATTCTCTTAGCCAATGATGATTCTGGCTGAGGATTAGATACCACTTTCGGCCAAGTATTCTGGTAATCTAGCCGATTTAATTCTGAAATTCTTTTACCTTTCCATTCAGGGCAACAATCGTGTTGTATGAGAGCCTTGACATTCGGAATGGCTGATGGTGTACTCTCGGTAACCTTAGGCTGATTCCCTTCATCAACCTTCCTTTTGGGAGCCTGGCCGATCACATTACTACCTGGTATGAAAATATCATTGTCGACCTCCATGACTTCATCATCTGTTCCCTTTTTGGCAGATATGGTAGATGTTTGAGTGTCGGATGTGGCTGATTTTGGCTTTTTGTACATTGGTCGACCTATTCGCTTAAGGCCATTACCATATTCTTGTTTAATAGGATCAGCCAACTAAACCTTATCGACCGTCGTTGGCTGATTAAGATAATCAATGACCGGTCGATCTTGATTTACCACCAGCGGCTGATTATAATTCGGCCAACCTTCTGGCTGATTATAATTCAGCCAGCCTTCTGGCTTATCTTTGATCATTTTTTCAATGATCTCTATTAAAATTTTGTTTGAAGATTCGACCTGGCCATTTGCTTGAGCATAGTATGGCGTAGAGGCTGACATACGAATATTCATG